AATTCTCAAAACTTGAAATTTTTAGGTTCTACCATTAATCCCAATTTAGAACCTATGTCTTCTAGGGAAATGGTTACTAGATATTATACTTGTTGGATGTTTTTCAAAATATCAAATTAATATTATCATCTGCAAACGAACTAAATATATATAAGCCTATAAAGTACTAAGATGCCATGTTTACTTTTTGAAGGTTCGCAGAAGGAAAGAAATAGATTTTATTGTAAAAATTATTTGAAAGTTACCTACTGAGAATATTTTCATCTATCTTTTATTGTTTGATGAACAGCTTAATTGAGCCATGCCACTTATTTATTTTAAATAGTTAGCATTAAACCATCCTACATTTAATCTCCTCAGATAGTTTTGAAGAGTCTCTTTTTTCTAACATTTCTGTTTCCTTTTTTGAGTTTTTATTTCTATGGCTAGGCAGAAATCCAAAGGTAGTCAAGCAGAACTATTTAGTTCTTCTTGAGTTGAAATTCAGTTGCAACTCCATGAATAAGACCCTTTGGATCGGATCACAGCTGATATCTAGCCCTTACGTTGTAGATTTTGCCAGGGGGTTAGGTTGCAAAGAAGATTTAAAATGAAATGACTTGAGTCAGAGGACACATGCGTAGCATTATACCTACCATGTAAAAAAATATTTAAACATAGGTTTTCTTCTTTAAATTCAAATAAAAACATATTTGTTCTAAAAGCATTTAACCACTAATACTAGCCCTTATATCAGAAAGCTCTGTGTGGAAGAGATGGGGGTTACTCTGGTAAAGAAACTGCACATTTTCAGATTCTTAATTTAGCTGACAAACAGAGGGACAGACTGACAGCGCCGAATTGATCAGATTTCTAAAGCGGAGCATATTCTGCCATATTTCATAGGGGTGTCTTGATAGAAACATAATCTGGAGTTTTGCTGATAGTTGCTGCAGGAAACTTTGAGTTTGAATAATGTTTCAATTTCAGGTTCAACTTTTGGATACAGAAGCTGTTGTTCTCTGGAAGGCCCCCAAATGGAAAGTTTCTCAAAGACAGGTTAATAGTAACTTTAGATTTTAGTGGGATGCTCTTTGGTCTTAATCTGCATGGTGATATTAGTATCTTCTGCCAGGTTTGGGCATGTGTATCCACAGGTAGTCTAAGGTTTCACACCTTAGCAATATGTTCTATGTATTTTGTTAACATATTATGCCTATGAGAGGCACGGGGTTGTGTCCCAATTATACTCTGTTCCATAAAGTAAGATGAATTTTGTGATATTGCCACCCCCCACAATTACCTATTCAATATACTTACCCAACTTCTGAGATGTTCCCCATGCTAAAATGGAAGTGCCTCTTGCTTTCAATAGAAATCTTTATATCTGTGCTCCGGAACCTAATCCTACTACACACCTTTTTAGATATTTCACTCTTTCAAAATAATAATTCCCTTCAAGAAAGACAGTGCTTAATATTTTCCTTAACAGAAAAAAAATAAATAATCTGTTGAACTCAATCTCTGATGACATAAGTCATCATTTTTCTGCTCTCTATTTCAGGTAATGATGTCAAACAAGGTGTCACACTCATGGGCTCCATGTATTCACAATTCAATACCCTCTTGAATCCACTGTAATAAAACTCCCATCCTTCCATATCGTGTGGACACTTTTCTTCTCATGGCCATCCTGCCAAATCCAACCAACCTTGACTCATCTCACTCAACTTCACAGAATTCACGGTAGCTGCCCCCTTACCCCTCTGCTCCCCTGCTTGCTCTGTGGCCTCACCTCTCCCAGTTTTCTCTCCCTTTGGGCTGTTTTCTCTCCTTTTACTTGCACTTCCTTTTACACAGATGCTGGGCAGCTTCAGACCCAAAAGGTTGGGTGCTCAGTGCTCAATCTTTCCCTTCCTTCATTCTTACAGTTCTCTCCCAGATGAGATTACTCTGTGCCCTTCACCTTAAATTTAGGCTGATATATCTCACATTTATATTTCCTATTCAGAAAACATGATTGAATGCCACACCCACGCCTAATTCTCTGCTTTTCATTACGCACGCTTATCTAATTGACATCTAAGGCATAATGGGTCAACATGACTGATTTCTCCCAAATTATTTTTCTCCCAAAGAGAGCTTTTCCCCTACATCTTCATCCAGCTCAGTGAATGGGCTTAACAACTACATGGTAGACCAAACACATGCACACAACAGGCACACACACACTGAATTATTTGTGATTTCTACCCTTTACTGATGCCACTTCAACAAAAAGTTCTATAGGTTGTATTTGATAGATAGCATTATTATATACACTGGTTTCCATTTCCTTCTTTTTCCCCACATTTGTCCAAAATAGTGTAATTTCTGCCCTAGCCGGTTTTGCTGTGGTTAGAGCATCGGCCTGCAGACTGAAGGGTCCCAGGTTTGATCCCGGCCCAGGGCACGTACCTCAGTTGCAGGTTGATCTCCATCCCCTGGCTGCGTTGAGGTGTGTGCGGGAGGCAACCAATCGATGTTTCTCTCTGTCCCTCCCTGCCTCCCTCCCTGCCTCCCTCCCTGCCTCCCTCCCTGCCTCCCTCCCTCCCT